TGATTTTTTTTTTAATTTTCTCAGTTTCTGTTGTTATGTCTCCCTTTTCTGTTCTGATTTCATTAATTTGGATACTGTGTCTCTGCCTTCTGGTTAGTCTGGTTAATCTATCTTGTTGATTTTCTCAAAGAACCAGCTCCTGATTTTGTTGATTCTTTGTATAGTGCTTTCTGTTTCTATTTGGTTGATTTCAGCCCTGAGTTTGATTATTTTCTGCCATCTCCTCCTCTTGGGAGTATTTGTTTCTTTTTGTTCTAGAGCTTTCAGGTGTGCTGTCAAGTTGCTAGTGTATGCTCTCTCCAGTGTCCTTTTGGAGGCACTTAGAGCTATAAGTTTTTCTCTTAGCACTGGTTCATTGTGTCTCATAAGTTTAGGTATAATGAACCTTCATTTTCATTAAATTCTAAAAAGTCTTTAATTTCTTTCTTTATTTCTTTCTTGACCAAGTTATCATTGAGTAGAGCATTGTTCAGTTTTCAAGTGTATGTGGGCTTTCCATTTTATTATTATTATTATTATTATTATTATTATTATTATTGAAGACCAGCCTTAGTCCATGGTGATCTGACAGGATGCAAGGGATTATTTCAATCGTTTTGAATCTGTTGAGACCCTCTTTGTGACCAATTTTATGGTCTATTTTGGAGAAGGTACTATGAGGTGTTGAGAAAAAGGTGTATTTTTTTGTTTTAAGATGAAATGTTCTATAGGTATCTCTTAAATCCGTTTGGTATATAACTTCTGTTAGTTTCACTGTCTCTCTGTTCAGTTTCTGTTTCCATGACCTGTCCATTGCTGAGAGTGGAGTGTTGAAGTACCCCACTATGATTGTGTGACGTACAATGTGTGCTTTGAGCTTTAGTAAAGTTTCTTTTATGAATGTGGGTACCCTTGCATTTGGAGCATAGATGTTCAGAGTTGAGAGTTCATCTTGGTATATTTTTCTTTTGATGAGTATGAAGTGTTCTTCCTTATCATTTTTGATAACTTTTGTTTGAAAGTTGACTTTATTTGATATCAGAATGGCTACTCCAGCTTGCTTCTTGGGACCATTTGCTTGGAAAATTGTTTTCCAGCCTTTTACTCTGAGGTAGTGTCTGTCTTTGCCACTGAGGTGGGTTTCCTGTATGCAGCAAAATTCTGTGTCCTGTTTACTTATCCAGTCTGTTAGTCTACTTTTTATTAGGGAATTGACTCTATTGATGTTAAGAGATATTAAGGAAAAATGACTGTTGCTTCCTGTTATTTTTGTTATTAGAGGTGGAATTATGTTCGTGTAGTTGTCTTCTTTTGGGTTTGCTGGAAGATTATTTTCTTGCTTTTTCTAAGTTTTAGTTTCCCTCCTTGTGTTGTTGTTTTCCATCTATTATTCTTTGTAGGGCTGGATTTGTGGAAAGATATTGTGTAAACTTGGTTTTGTCATGGAATATCTTGGTTTCTCCATTTACAGTGATTGAGAGTTTTGCTGGGTATAGTTGTCTGGGCTGGCATTTGTGTTCTCTCAGGGTCTATACGATATCAGTCCAGGATCTTCTGGCTTTTATAGTCTCTGATGAGAAGTCTGGCATAATTCTTATAGGTCTGCCTTTATTTGTTACTTTACCTTTTTCCTTTACTGCTTTTAATAGTTTTTCTTTGTTTTGAGCATTTGATATTTTGATTATTATGTGACAAGAGAAATTTTTTTCTGGTCTAGACTATTTGGAGTTCTGTAGGCTTCTTGTGTGTTCATGGGCATCTCTTTCTTTAGGTTAGGGAAGTTTTTTTCTATAATTTTGTTTAAGACATTTACTGGGCCCTTTAACTTTGAAATCTTCAATCTAATCTATACCTATTATCCTTAGGTTTGGTCTTCTCATTGTGTCCTTGATTTCTTGGATGATTTGGTTTATGAGGTTTTTGCATTTTGCATTTTCTTTGACTCTTGTGTCAATGTTTTCCATCATATCTTCTGCCTCTTCGATTCTCTCTTCTATCTCTTGCATTCTGTTGGTGATGTTTGGTCCTTTTCCTTTGTTTTATATCTCCAGAGTAGTCTCCCTTTGGGATTTCTTTATTGTTTCTATTTCCATTTTTAGATCCTGGATGGTTTTGTTTAATTCCTTCACCTGTTTGTTTGTGTTTTCTTGCAATTCTTTCAGGAATTTTTTATTTCCTCTTTAAGGGCTTCTACCTGCTTACCTTTGTTACCCTGTATTTCATTAAGGGAGTTATTTGTGTCCTTCTTAAAGTCCTCTATTGTCATCATGAGAAGTGATTTTAAATATGAATCCTGCTTTTCCGGTGTGATGGGGTGTCCAGGACTTGCTATAGTGGGAGAACTAGGTTCTGATGCTGCCAGGTAACCTTGGTTTCTGTTTCTTATGTTCTTGGGCTTGCTTTTCGCCATCTGGTTATCTCTAGTGCTACCTGTGCTCATGGTATCTGACTGGAGCCTGTTTGTTCTGTTATCTTGCTTGTGTCAGAACTCCTCAGAATCCAACTGTTTCTGTGTTCCTGTGATCCTGAGATCCTGGGTGAAGAGTTCCTGGAACTCAGGCTGCCTCTGGGATCCTGAAATCCTATGATCCTGGTGTGTTATAGTTCCTGAGAATCCATCTTCCTCAACTGCTCTGAGTGCAGTGGATTCCCCACTTCTCTGAGTGCAGAGGTTCCTCCACTGCTGTGCAGTGGCTCCTCTGCTGCTCTGAGTACAGTGGTTCCTCCAGGATGGGTCAGGATTTGGTGTCTTCACAGGAGCAGAACAGCTAGGAGTCTGCCCAAGCAGAAAGGACCAAGCGAGGGGCAAAAGGGGAATGGTATTCTGGAGGGCAGGGTTTGGGTGGATGATGGGTTCAGCTGCACCTCTGGGACATAGGTTGTGGGGGAGGGTTCTTACCTGCTCTGAGTAAGGTGGTTCCTCTAGGATGGGTCAGTATATGGTGTGTTCAGGGGAGCAGACCAGCTAGCAGTCTGCCCCAGCAGAAAGTGAGGAATAGTTTTTATGTCCTAGTTCTTTGTATCTTTGTGAAGAATTTAGTTTATTTCTTTTTACATTTTAATCTATTGTTAATTATGCAAGTGTGTTGAAACATTTGTGAATATTTTAAAAGGTCAATTTAAAAATTTTTGTTTATATGTGTGTGTGTGTGTGTGTGTGTGTGTGTGTACATATGTAGGTTGTTTTTAGTGGCCAGAAGTGGACATAATCTGGATCTGTAGTTACAGGCATTTGCCAGCCATCCAATGTATGTTCTCAGACGTTGAGTTCTCTGCAAGAACAGTAAGCAATCTTAACCATTGAGCTATCTCTCTATCCCCTTGTTATTTCTAATAACAATTATTAATTACAACTTTAAACTTTCTTTGGAATTTCTTCTTAAAAATTTTGATAGAATGCTCATGGAAAAGAAAACTCAAAAAACCAATATTTGATATTATGGGTTACCAAAATAGTTTTCTTAATTTGTTTACATTAATTGAAAGGGAGAAAAAGGTAGGAAAGGTTTGGAGAAAAGTATAGCTCACTGTTATTTTAAAGTTCTGTTTTCTTTTCCTGTGGTAAAAATTATTGAGGTATAAAATGCATACTTAGCTAACTAAAAAGTATTACAAGAAAATTATCCTTGGCAAATCTTTAGGCACCTAATACCTGATGACCATCCTAGCTAGCTTACACAATGCAGAAAACATGATTGTATTTACAGAAGGCTAATATAATACACATTTTTGGCATATTGAGAAATATAGAGAAAGCAATATTATAAAAAGCAAGCATAATTTCCAAATATTTATAATTTTACAAAACATAAAGAGAACAAGTTATTGTATGATTCCACCATGGTGCAAAAAGCAAAAGTTTTACTGAGAATTTTAACACTGGAGCCTAGTATAGTTACTAATTATACTTTTTATTTTAACAAAATGTAATGTTACATGCAATACATTTATTAATATTTCCCTAGGAAATTATTTGTCATTTTCTCAGTGTACAGAATATGAGAAGACATTGGTGGAAACTTCTAGTCTTGGGACTGTTTCATAATCTTCAATATTTACAGTGCTGCACTTATTTAGGGAAGAAATTTGAGACCCACCTTCTTCTGAGAAGACAGTTTTACAACGTTCCATCAAAACAAAGTTGAATTTGATACTCCCAGATATCATTTCTCAGTAGAGACATGAGGATACATCACTTGGGAGATATGCCATTGTAAAGGATCTACATAGTCTTCTACTCTCCAGGCTTCTCTAGCATCTTTGCCAACCCTGGGTGTGTTGTCCACAATAGGATCCTCTCTCCCACTGCTGACAGATTCTGATCACTGGTCTTTCTGTTCAGACTGATTTGATTTGAACATGTGTGTATGTCAAAACTCTATGCAGTTATAAAAACTGTCTTATGAGTCCGGGACCTGGAAGTCAGCTGAACATGTAGTATCAGGCTTGTTTTCTCTCTGTTCAACGAGACTTTGTGGCTTAGTAAGAACATTTTGCTATGACTATTTGTTTTGCCCAGGCTAAGATGTAAAGGAGTTTGCCTCTAGACTCTGGAGTCTAGAGCAGTGCTTCTCAACCTTCCTTACGGCATGACCCTTTAATACTGTTCTTCATGTTGTGGCAATCTCCAGACATAAAATTATTTTCATTCCTACTTCATAACTGTGATTTTGCTACTGTTATGAAACATAAAGTATATATGTGACATGTAGGATATCTGAAATGCGACCCCTGTGAAGAGGTCATTTGAATCTCAAGTAGGCACAACACATAGGTTGAGAATCACTGGTCTACAGTAATCATACTGCATATGTAGAAACAGATAGAAGATGTTTCCTTTATAGCTAGAAAAAGCAACAACCTGAGATTAATGAAAGATATTGTTTATATTTAATAAGATAAGCACAAATGTTTATGTTGAAGAAGCACGTTTGATTTCAGAGTCTAGAAGTCTGGCATGTATGTTGTAGTTTACCATTTAGCACCACTACGGTTTCCTATGATGATTTTTAATTATTTAGGCTTCAAGGAGACAACCTGATGGAAAGGACAGAAGACACACTACAAATATTTCATTCTCCAGATGAAATAATCCCAGACTCATTGGGTAAGTTTTAAATTCAGAAGTATTTATTGAAGTTTTAGTAACTCTTGGTGATTTTCAAAAATAACTTCCCTGAACCAAATGCCCGAAACCACCAATCACAAGCTTATCCTACCCACCTGGGCTGGGAAGGGAAAATGAGGAAAAGAATCAGGAAGGGTAAATTCATGCTTATCTGTCAGAGTCATGCTACTAATTCTAACATTTTAGAATTCAGTTTTCTGATGTGGTTCTATAGAAAGCGTAGGTCATTATGAGTTCATTGACAATGGGCATGTCTTTTAGTTCCATCTTGTGCCATTGATCCAGTTAGTCTTCTTGGAGGAAAACAGTGATATCTTATTGGAGATATCATACAGCTTTTCTCTCAGCTGTGTGTTAAGGTGGTGTTAAGACTGTAAATATTGTTTCTCTCTCTAAAATAGACGTCATTTTCTTCCTGAGAGTCTCATCTATGCTTCCTTTCCCGACTGTTTTGTATCATAGCTTGCTTTTCTGTTGCTGTGATAAAATTCCAGGACCAAAGGTAATGTGGGGAGGAGAGAGTTTATTTCGTTTTCCAGGATACAGTTTGCTATCTTGGGAAGCCAAACCTGAGGCAAGTCCTGAAGCAGAGACCAGGGAGGAAGAAACTGCTTCCTTGATTGCTTCCCTGGCTTGTATAGCTACATCTCTGATACAACCCAGGTCCGCTTATCTAGGCATGGTATCACCTACAGTGGGCTGCCCCCACCTATATCAATTGTTAATCAAAAACATGTTCCACAGAGATGCACACAGGCCAATATGATGAAGGTCATTTCTTAGTTTAGATTCCCTATGCTTAGGTGTTCTGATTTAGTATATGCTGCTGTTATAAGTCACTGACCAAAACTACCTTGTGTGAGGGTGTGGTATTTCAGTTTATACCTCTAAGTCACAGTTCCTCATCCAGGAAAGCCAAGGCAGAAACCTGGAGGTAGGTACTGAAGCAGAGATCATGGAAGAAATGTCTCTTACTCGTTTTTCCTCACATAGTGCTCAGCTAGTCCAACACCGTGTGCCCAGGGGTAGTATCTCCAAAGGTGTGCTGATACCTCTCCCATAAAACAGTAACCATGCTCTACAGACATGCTGCCTGAAAAATCTGATGGAAAAAATTGCTCAGTTGAGATTTCCTTCTCCTAGATGATTCTAGTTTGTATCAAGTTGACGAAAACTAATCAGGTATGTCTAGGTTTTGTTTCAAGTTGACACCCAGTACCACAGCTGTCTACTTTATTATCACTTTAAGTTAATAGTATTTAGTTCATTCCCATTTCTATATGATGAAGCACAAACTCCATGACTGAACTCCATATGAAGTTAAACTTCAAAATGCTTGGTGCAGAAGTGGCAATTGTAATGCTACTCCAATGCCGTCTAAGATGCATTACTATTTATTGTATAGTATTCTAGCAGGTCATAGCACATGGGACCAGGATCATCAGAGGAATCACATTGGGAAGATAGTCCCCTTATATCTGAATGGAGAACATCTTAAAGCAGACAAAAAACCTCATAACCATTAGATATGGAATATAATAGTAATGTACTCTACAACCCAAAAGCTAGAAAAAGGATGTTTGAATAATTTTACCAGAAGCAAATGAAATAATGAGTGTTTATAAATATTTTCAATTTTATACAAAAGCTTATATGTATTAAAAACAAAACATTCCAGGTTGCCCTACTAATATGTACAATTTCTATTGTTATAATTTATCATTTTAATTAACAAATTTTAAAATGAAGTTAAAAGATAGTGAAAACAAACTATAGAAAATGAAGAGCTATGGAGCTGAGGTGATCGCTCAGCAAGAAAAGTGCTTGTTGCATATTCATAAGGCTGAGTTCAGATCCTTGTCATACATGTATTAAGCATAGTAGCACACAACTGTAAATCGACATGTGGAACACCTATGTTGGTGGAGTACAGACGGGAAAATCCTAGTGATTCACTGGCCAGCCTGTCAGGCTAATCAGTAAGCTTTAGTATCAGTGAGAAACCCAGTCTGAAATAAAATAAGATGGAAAATGATAGACGAAGACCCTGGCCTTTATAAATTCCCACACAGTGTATATACCTGCTTGCATACACCATGCACACACCAACACATGTGGAACATTCATACAAATAGAGTTTTTTTTTTTTAGGAATTTTAGAACTATCAAAAATTCCAAGGAAAAAGCCACAAAATGAGAAAATAGTGTTTGCAGTATAGTTTTCATTGCTCAAAGATGAGAATTCAAATATGATAATCACTTATAATTTAATAAGGTCAACAAATCCATTGAGAAATAATCAACAGATTAAACAGACTTGTCACAGATGAGGAGATTCAAATGTCAAGTAAATATATGAAATAAGCCTCATTACCTTAGAAACCAGGAACAATTAAATGGAGATGATAATGAAGTATTGTTTTTATAAGTATTTGGTTGGTATTAATTATTAAAGCTGAAAAAAACCTAGTAAAGGCAGGGATTTACTTGGTAGTGTCTAAACAATTTGAAAACTTGTTTCTACTATATTAAAATTTGGGCATTTATATGATAGAAAGCCCAAAAATGGAATATCTGGTTAAACATCTTAGAAAACCCAGCTTTATGTACCAGGAATGCCAGGAAGCCTTGTTAGGATGTTCATGGGTGATGAAACCAATGAGCTGTGGAATTGTTACACTGTAGGGACTCTCGAGCACATTTCAACTGTACACACGGGATGGATAAAGTCAGCAGCCTGCTGGTAAATGTTTAGCAAAAATGTTGTGCAGAATGGTTGGTTCCTCTGATGGGATATAGCCCAGCCACTGAGCCGATTTCAATCAACTCTAAATGGCCAGCTGGTTCTCTGATGCTGCTGTGAGCACGGAAGAGCTCCCCACCGATCTGCCCTTAAGATCATAAATGTTGATTGGACAAACAGAAGTCAGAGGATGCCATTTTCATAAAGATAAAAATGAGGACATTTCTGGAGTGTTCACTAGGAAAACATGCCTAAATGAAGAAACCATACTACAGGAAAGGAATGATAGACTCAAAATATCAGTTCTCTTCAGGATATGAGGAAGCTCATAGATCTGATAAAGAAGGAGCCCACAGCAAAGTGAAGGCTGATGGGAATTCTCTGTTTTTTAAAGTCTGTCCGAAGCTTGGTGTATTTAATTATTGCACTTTATAAGTTAAATTTATTATATATCTTATCCATATAACACAGTTTTTGTACTTTATTTGAAATTTCATATGTACATATAGTTTCACATGTTGACTATCACCTAATAATATTTAAAAATAAAATGATACAGGAATATAGGCCAATACCAATGATGACCTACAGAGAATGCATGATATTTTATATCTGTTTGGATCTGTTATAGAACTAAGGCATGAGCATGCTCAAGATAGTTCGTAAACTCTGAGAATGAAAGCAGAGTCTTGGATGAGTAGCAACATGGAGGCTCATGCTAGCTAGCTAGCAACTCTTATTTATCTTGTGGATTTAGCCTGACCATCTTATCTTGTGTATGCTGTATGATTTCCTCTACGCAGTTCACTCGTTCCTCTATGGTAGCAGCTGCCTTTTGAGGCCTGCAGTACTCAGAGCAAACGCCCTAAGGTCATATTAAGTGTCCCTGTTGTCCAGATCACAGGAATGTTTTCTCTGTATAAACGCCTAATTATTTTGGAATTACTCAGTATTTGTTCTCACTTCAAATAATTTCATGCTTCTTAAGGCTTTCATACTCAATATAAAAGTAACACAACACAGATACTGTGTAACAACTTGGCCATTAACTGTTTAAACTCAATCAAAACTAGTCTAATCAATCAATCTGTTAATAGATTTATACTTTCTAGCAATTTACATGTACATATTTGCTGAAAACTGTAGGGACTTAAGTGTCCTGGGTAATTAAACAATACATGTGTTTTTGATTATACATAGATCTACTGGAAAAAATGCATTCATTAAGTTTAAGCTCTTTTCTTGAAATATTTATGTCCTGCCCTTTCCACACTCAAATATTAGAATACCTAATTAGGAAATTGCAAAGCAGGAGTTTCTGCTTCAGTACATTCCTTTCTTCTGAAGTTAGTCAAACCATGGGACCCCAAAGTTTAGAATCACTAGCATCATCCAAAAATCTCCAATGTGATTTGCATGTCAACTGGGCATCCATATTGAACTTGGTTCAAGATACATGTTTCTATAAATAGGCCTAATTTTGTGTAGAGAAGTTCTTGGAACACAAGCAGCCATGGTAAAAATGATGACAAGAGGAAGCTGATTGAAACTAAACATTGTGACAAACATTCAAGATTTCTAGATCCTGTTAACACGCTCATCCAATAGATGAAAATTGTATCCCAGAGTTTGAAGACACCTTTTAAAGAATAAAATGACTTAATTATTCCATGCTTTTGTACTATTTCACTAAGGACACAATTTCTACTATTCTTTATGTGATTAAAAGAATCAAACAACTATAGCATGTTTCTTGAAATCATGCTTGCTTGTAAGACAAATTTCTCTGCAGAAAAAAAGAACACAGTTGGTCCATATCTGCATGTGCTAGTAAGCACTAGCCAAGAAATATATCTCAAACACCTTACAAAGTTTGTTCCCCCAAGCATGAGACATGGATTTTTATTTTTATGATGTCTCTTTGCTCAATTTCTTAGATTGATGTTCCATCTCAGTTTTTGTCTCTTTTGCTGGCTCTATTTGCTCTTGTAAATTTCAATTAAGGTAGAACATCAAGATTTTCAACTGCTTTGAGAAGCCCATCACAGAAGTGCTCTGCTAGACTCTAGAACTGCTATGATCTCATAGACTTCAGCAGGTCTGATCATCCCTAATCACAGAGTTCTCAAAACAAGCACCTAGCAGAGCATAAACTAAAAAACTACTACTATTGCCACCTTGTAAATCTTCATTTTTTTTGTTAAAAAGTTAATACTGTGTGTATGTATTCAAGTGA